TTTGTTTTATTTGGGTATTTTAGTGTTCCTAGGCTATTTAGTGATGGTGTTGGAGGAAAATCTTGCAGTTTTCTGCCATGGATGGATTGTGCATTCCTCTTTAGAGGAATGTCCATGTCCCATAGCTCTACCATATATCCCTTCCTATACATTGCTGGTAGTTGCATAAGCTCACTACCATAATATGCTAAATTCCTGACAAGAGATACTTTATTTCCAAAACCTGAGTTCTGTTGATTGTGTCCACCTAGATCCTTGTAGTTATGCTTCTCAGTTGGTGGCCTTCTAAGGAAGACGTTTTTTGCTTTGAATGAAAAGTAAGGTGGGAAGGGAGGACTGCATCTCCAGAGGCATTTCCCGTGTGCAGGAACAGTTGCACACCACGGTTGACAGAAGCATAGCATCATGACAGCTACCCGGACAACATTGCTTATTTTCCGCCTCTACTGAAAATACTTTCTTTTCTCATTTATATCCTGGTTAGTTTCCTCTCTCTCTAATCCCTCCAGTTCCTCCCTTCCTCCGACGCCATCCAGATCCACCCCCTTTCTGACTCTTGTTAGAGAAGAACAGGCTTCTAAGAGATGCAAGAAAACATATCCAAACTAATTAGACTAAGATAAAATCCAACTATCACACAGAAGTTAGACAAGGCAAGCCAACAGAAGGAAACAAGAAGCGAAGGAAGGCCAAAGAGTCAGAGACCCACTCTGTCACTCAGTCAGGAGTCCCACAAAAACATGAGGTGAAAGCTGTAATGTAGACACGGAGGACCTGGTGCAGAGACATGCAGGCCCTGTGCACGCTGCTTCAGTCCCTGTGACAGCCTTTTTCAGGTGATGGTCTCCTGGTGTCCTCCATCATCTCTTGCTCTTACACTCTTTCTGCTTCCTCTTCCTCAGGTTTCCTTGAGTGGATAGATTTGATGGACACATCTTATTTAGACCTCTGTCTAAATTCCAGAGTTTCTCTCTCTCTCTCTCTCTCTCTCTCTCTCTCTCTCTCTCTCTCTCTCTCTCTCTCTCTCTCTCTCTCATCTCTCTCTCTCTGTGTCACTCTGGCTATGTCTCTCTCTCTCTCTTTCTCTGCATCTCTCTCTCTCTCTCTCTCTTACACACACACACACACACACACACACACACACACACACACACACACATACACACAACACACACACATGTCTGCCTGTGGGTCTCTGTAGTTGTTTCTGTCTGCTGCAGGAGGAAGCCTATCTGATGAGGTCAGACCAAGGCTCTGATCTATGAGTATAGCTTAACATCATTAGAACTCATTTTTTCACTACCAAAAAACCCCCAAAACAGTAGTATTTGCTTTAAGACTAGGTCTCAGGGCCATCTAGTCTCTGGTTATTAGTCACCAAGGCAGTATCAGGTATGGGTTCCATCTGGTAGAGTGGGCCTTCACTCAAATCAGATACAAGCTTCTTGCCAACATTGCCCTACCATATTTTGCAAGCAGGAGAGCAGTGTAGATAAGAGGACTTTTGGCTGGATTGATAGTTCTATTGTTCTTTTGGTAGCCCACAGAGTACCTTCCTACTCTAAAGACACTAGGATGTAGGAATGAAGGTTCTATGTAGGCACCAGCTTGACCTCTCCATATTCAATGAGTTGTGTGTGAGTGTCCTTCAGCAGTGGGGCCTTGCTTTCAGTTTGTGGAGAGCAACCTATTGTCTTGACAACAGCCTGGGTTGTTTGGGGATTTCCATGGGACCCCTTTTTCCAACATCTCCAATGCATGTGACCCAGTCCTGGTAATGGAAGTGTTGTTTGATGACAAGAGATTGCCAGTTGGGACTCTGTCTCCCTCATTATAGGAGACTTCATTAGGCTTGCCTTCATATATTTTAGAAAGTTTCCACTGCACTAGGTGTCCATGCCACCCCTCAGATGACCCTCAATTCTACCTGTGTCTTCCTGCATTCTCTCCCTCAAACCCATTTCCCCCACTAGCCAAGGTGATCCTGCTGCTCTAGACTCCTCCAGTCTACCCATAAAATCTATTCTAGTTCCCCCTTCCAGGGAGATCCTTGTGTCCTCCCAGTCCCTTCCACTATACCTAATCTCTCTGGGACTGTGGATTGTAGCTAGGTTATCCTTTATTTGAACAATAATATCCACGTACAAGGGAATGTACACCATCTCTACCTTTCTGAGTTTGGGTTACCTCACTCAGGATTCTTTTTCCAGCTCCATCCATTCTCGTGCAAATTTCATGATGTCATTTTTTAATAGCAGAGTAATATTCCATTGTTTACATGTCCCAGGTTTTCTTTATCCATTTTTCTGTTGAGGGACATCTAGGTTGTTTCCACTTTTTGGCTCTTATGAAGAGAGCAGCAATGATCATGGTTGAGCAAGTGTTTTGGTATTTTGTTTTCGTTCTGACAAATAAAGCTTGCCTGAAGATCAGAGGGTGGTACTAGCCACTAGTTAACCATAGAGGTCTGGAGGTCTGTACAGAGAGGAGACAGGAAAGGCTATGACTGGGCAGAGAGAGAAAGTGATGAGGCAGAGAGTGTGGGAGCCCATTCTCGGGTTCCTCGTGGCTTTACCCAGAAGGTCCACATAGAGGATGATTAGGACCATGAGCTTGAGTGCAGGTGTCTGAGATGGTCTGCACTTGGCTGTGCTGGGGGAGGAGGTCTTTTGCTCCACCCCTTGGAGTCTCCATAAAAACCCTGGGGCAGAGACAGTCGAGCCCGTTGGAAAAGGTTTCAGGCCCTCTCGAGGCTCTCCTTTATTTTCTATCTGTTTATCTCCACAATATTCTCAGCAATATAAATCCTTCCATATTTCCTGCTGCTCACACTCAAGAAAACTCTGGGGAGCTGTGGGGATGGTGGGTAAACGCCTTACAAGAGAGGAGACAGGAGCTTTGCCCCTTCAGTTCAGAGCAATCAGAGAGGTAAGAGCTGACTGTGGCTGCTTCATTGCTTCTCGGATCTCTCAGCTTTCACCCTGATATCTGACTCTGGGTTTGTATTATTAAGACTAATTAGCTTTGTGCTCCAATCAAGTGTCCTTAAGGAAGGATGAAGCTTGCTTGGGGTATATGCCCAAGAGTGGTATATCTGGAATTTGAGGTAGAGTGATTCCCATCTGGAGTACAAGTCCTTCTAAATCAACTCACAGAAACTCACAGAGAGTAAAGTAGCAAGCACTTTGGGTCCATGGGTCTTCACCATGTCCTCTATGTATATATTCTACCTTTCCATATGTTAGTTGCTCTTTAATTCATATTTTTATGGGATCCTGAGTGAATGAACCAGTGGTCTCTGATTCTTGTGTCTCCTTGTGGGCTCTGTTCCTCCTGTTGGTTTGCCTGGTCCAGCTTGTATTTGATAGCTGTGTTTTGTCTAATCTAATTTATTTAGCTGTGTTTTGCTGTTATCTCCTAGAAGCGTGTTATTTTCTAATGAGAGACAGAACCACAGTAGATCCAGATGGGAGGGTAGGTGGAGTGGAACAGGGAGGAGTAGAGGGGAGGGAACCTCTAATCAGGATATAGTATGGAGAAAAACCTATTGTGAATAAAAATCATGGAAGGAAGATTCCCAGACTGAAGTATAACACAAAGGAATCATGGTTCACAGAGATATACTGACTCTTATTTTGTTACTAGTAGGTCACTTGAGTATCAGTACTTATCCACCAATGCCCCAAAGCTAGACCACAATCAGCAGTGAAATGTTATTGCTTTTCCCCTTCCCCTCATCTGACATTTCGTTCCTTCCCTCCTTCCCTCTCTTTTTGCTTTTGTCTTCATTTTATTTAGATTGCTCTCGTTCTCCTATGCTACCTTTACTTGATTGCTATTACTCCTTGTCTTTATCTAGGTGTTATATAGTAAAGTCTTATTTTGATTGCATTCTTTGTAGTGTTCCAATGTTTGTTGAGGTTGTGCGATGTCCTTAACTGTAGACTTGGTCATCTATAATCTGGCATCTTCTCTGGTTGTAGTTATCACTTTTCACTCACCTGCGCGCGCGCGCGCGCACACACACACACACACACACACACACACACACACACACACATATATGTATGTATATATATAATTTATTTAATGATTTCGTGTGTTGAGAAATATACCAGATGATGAGAGAAAAAGGGGACACATGTAACAAACCTCTCATTTCAGAAGCTTACAGCGCATGTAGAGAGATACATAAACTTACAGGAAGTGACAGCGCATTAGGGTTTTATGAACAAACAGTTTCCTCAAATTTAGTTATTGGAATAAATGAAGTGATAAATAGTGTGTTGGAAAGTTATGGAACAAGATGACCAGACTGTCCAAAATTAGAAAAAAAGTATATATTTTTTTTCTTGAGACAGGATTTCTCTATGTAGCTTTGCTCCTGTCCTGGAACTCGCTTTGGAGATCAGGCTGAGCCTCGAACTCACAGAGATCCACCTGGCTCTGCCTCCCGCGCCACCACCGCCTGGCTTTAAGCCGTGAAAGCTAAGGCATGCTTGTCTCCAAAGCGAGTTCCAGGAAAGGCGCAAAGCTACACAGAGAAACCCTGTCTCGAAAAACCAAAAAAAAAAAAAAAAAAAAAAAAGATAAAAGAGGTTTGAATAGGAAGGTTTCAGGAAACTTGACATGCTCTCAGATATCCTAGCATATTGCTAGTCAGCAAGACATAATTATGAATCCCACATGATAGTCTCAAGTTGAACTAATACTACAAAATAAAGTTGAATTAAAATTGATGGGCCTGAATAATTCAAAGTATTATTTATTGTTTTCCTGCCTTGTTTTAAATAGCATAAGGTGGTTTATTATTATTTTTTACTTTGATTGAAATAGATTATTTTCTCATCCAATAAATGTGATAAAAATCCTATGAAAACCCTAAAGTGGAAGCCGTAAAATATACTCAAAGTAGGTGAAGGAGACCCTTGAGGTCTGTATGAATGGGAGATCAGTGTCTCTGCATTCATATAGGCTTTGATCAATTAGGTGAGAAGCAAGGGGATGTAGCTCAGCGGTAGAGCGCGTAGTTCGCGTTTATGAGGTCCCGGGTTCGATTCCCGGCATCTCCAACACAGTTTTTTTTTTTTTTTTTAACTTTTGAATTTTCTTTTTCAGGATGTTTCTGCACAAGGTGTCCTAGACTTTAACTTTTTGTTAGGGGATCATATGTGCATAGCTAATTATTGGATGAAAGTATTGGATGAAATCTGTCACCATAACAACAATGTTCATCTATGACCTTGACTACTTTTCCATGGAGACCGCCATAGACTGGTGAGTCCAATGAGGTCATGCCTCTTGGTATATGTTTTGTTCACAGAAAAAAAAAAAAAAAAACAAGCTCAGCTTTGTTGCCGGTAGCAATGTCTCTAATGGGTACTATTATTATTATTATAATTATTTTTATTGAAAATAGATTGTTTTCTCATTCTTTATATGTCCTAAAAATCTTATCAAAACCCTAAACTGGAAACAATAAAATATACTCAAATGTCTTGACGCAGAACCTTGTAGTCAATATATACGCTGAATCAGTCTTTCAGCATTCATATGGGCTTTGATCAACACATTTTCGAACGCGGAGATGTAGCTCAGTGGTAGAGCACATGTTTGGCGTGTATGAGGTCCCGGGTTCGATTCTCGGCATCTCCTAGTAATTTTAACTTCCATATTTTGCTTTCCAGGATGATTCTGCACAAGGTGTCAGAGACTTTCAATTTGGGCCAGTTATTGGTTGAAATTGTTCATCTGTTACCATGACATCAATGTTCATCTATGACTGTGACTACTTTTCCATGGAGACCGCCATAGTCTAGTGAGTAGAACATGGTTGTGCCTGCAGGGATATGTTTTCTTCACAGAAAAAATAGCAAACTCAGCTTTCTTGCTGGAGGCAGTTTCACTAATGGGTACTATTATTGTTATTATTATTATTTATTGAAAATAGATTGTTTTCTCATTCTTTACATGTCCTTAAAATCTTGTCAACCCTAAACTGGAAGCCATAAAATAGCCTGAAAAGACCTGACACAGTACCTTGTAGTCAATATGAATGCTGATCATTTTCTCTCTTAAGTGCTTTCATCAATGAAGTAGCTCAGCAGTAGAGTGCATGCTTTGTATGCTTTGTATATGTGAGGTTCCAGGTTCAAGGTTTTCTTTTGCAGCATGTCTCTGCACAAGGTGTCCCAGACTTTATCTTCCTCTATGAGGTTATATATGCATAGCTATTTATTGGAAGAAATTTCTCATCTCTCACAGTGACAACAGAGTGATGACATTTCCATGGAGACCACCATATTCAGGTGAGTAGACTATGGTCACGCTTCAAGGGATATGTTTGGTTTACAGACAAAAAAGCAAAGCTCTGCTTTCCTGCTGGTGGCCGTTTCTCTAATGGGTATGCTTTCTCGGGTGATAACAAGGGTGAAGAGTTCTTGCTTTGAGAGAAAGGAAGGGAGGGCTGGGCAGAACCATTCCTGCTTACTGAACAGGGGAAGCATTGCTGTTGTCATAGAAACCTGGGCTCATTATGAAGACTGTTTTCAATGGCGATCCAGGTGGTGTCCTGGAAAATGAGCATCCCTAGTTTTGGACTGAGCTGAGCTTATGCATTCCTGGAGGTGAGCACTGGATTCTTCCTGAGGGTGGAGAGGAAGATGCAGGGATCCCAGACCCAAGTAGGTTCACCCCCACTTCAGGATTTGTAGCCAGTGTGTCTCCAGAAGGAGAGAAATTTGAAACTATTGTGCCTCTTCAGTGTGCTGTTCTGTGCAGGGACGGGTGTGCTGGAGTCATTGTCCGGGCTAGGTGTTCTGAGGAAGGAAGCAGGAGGGACATAAGACAATGTGAGCACACTCTGATCCCAGTTTCCTGCTCTGTGAAAAGGGGATGAGATTGCTCACTCTCAGGATCGGGGGGACAGTAAGTGATAAAGCCTAAAGAGAAGTCAATGATTACCCTGCATGTCTCAGATGATGATTTCAATATGCAGTTGGTTAGAGGATTTTCTTTTTCGTTTTTAGTAATTTGAGGTTTTATTTGCTTTTGAGACAGCAATCACTGTGTCCTATCCTGGCTGAGAACTCTCAGTCATTCTCCTGCCTCAGCTGCCTCGTGAAGGGACTTCAGGTGTGGGATACTGTGTGCTTGGCACCAGTTTGGGATTTTATTTTCCCTTTTTGTGATACCCACCCACCAGGTGGCCCTGATGTCTCCTCAGAATCCCTGCCATGATGCTCTCTGCATATGGCACTAATATTTCTAATGAATCTCTTATAAAAAGGACAGTCCTATCAATGTCCCTCTTGAACAACACACCTGAAACCTTTCCCATTTCTCAATTTCTATTTTCTGCCTGACTTTTGTGAGCTTTTCTGTATGATTCATAGAAATTTGTTGTTAAATATGTGTTTTTCTAACTTTTCTCCTAGCCATAGAGTTATCTTCTCAGTTCTCATCCATCCTCTGGAAGAGCGGGAGATTTTAAATTGTAAGGATTCACCTTCTCCAGTTCTTCAATTGTGGTTTTATTTGGTGTCTTGTCTGTGATATCTTCACTCAGTCCCAGAAACAAGGATTTTCTTCTCTGTGTTCTCTTTGACACTTACAGGCTTATTTTTTATATTTTTCCATCTCTAATTTGTTTTGAGTGGTATTTGCACATGATATGATTTTTATTTATATTTGTGGATATGGATAAACACTTGCCTCCGCATTGTTTGCAGAAAGACCATCCTTTCTGCACCAAATTGCCTTTTCTTGTTTGTCAACCATCAGTTCTCCAACATTCCAGGCATGGTACATGTGCCAATATTCCCAGTGCCTGAGAGGCTGCAGCAGCAATATTGTCAGTTCTTTTCAGCCCTGACTCTGCACAGGCTTGATGTCAGCATGGGATACATAGGAAAATGTTGGCGCACAGTAGGCAATGGTCTGTAAATGTGTTGGTGTAAGCACGGACAGTAGATTTTGGTCTTTTACTTGCCAATGTTGATTCCAATAGCATGCTGGTCCAATTACTGTAGGTTCAAATGGAGTACTCCTATTAGGCAATGCTGTTCTCTAACTCGGCCCCTCTGTGTTGGACTGATCTAGCATCTTGTCACTAAGTTGGACCTGGCATTTAAAAAAAATCAGAAAATATCACTTTAGCAAAGCCTTAATTTTCTGCCAAAGGACTGAGTGTCATCACAAGGCAGCTAATGCCTGTAGCTAAAGTTTCTCTGCTTTACCATAATAGCCTACTTACTATCTCCACCAATGCACTTAAGGAGTGCCTTGATTCATAATTTTCTTCATTCTGTTACTAGACAAACTGCATGCAACTGTTCCCGCATTGTGACATGGAATTTGTTCTAACCTAAATCTGTCCCACTCATATTTTCTCACTCATTTTTGATTCCAGAATAAACTCTCTCTTCTTCCTTTGAGGTGAGAGCTGAGTTTTTGCATTGACATTTGTAAGCGTGTATTTATGTATTGGGAGACAGCTACCCACCAACACCACAAGAGTTTTCTTGAGTGAGAGTAGCAGGAAATGTTAGATAGAAGGATTTACATTGTGGAGGTAAACAGAAAATATGGGATAGCCTTGAGAGGACCGGGAACCTATTTCAATTGACCCAGACAGTCTCTTCCCTAGGGTATTTATGGAAATGACAAGGGGTGGAGCAAAAGACCTCCCCCCAGCACAGCCAAGTGCAGTCCATCTCAGACGCCTGCACTCAGGCCCGTGGTCCAATCATCCTCTCTATGCGGACCTGCTGGGAAAAGCCACGAGGAACCTGAAAACGGGCTCCCACAGTGTATACTGTTATACATGTGTGAATATGTCTCTGAAGTTGCCAGGCATAGTTATCACTGAATGTTAAATAATGTGCTCATGTAATTCACAGATTAAGAGCATATTAGGCTCAAGTGTGGTGTGTATTTTTCTCCCTGTTATTCCTTAGCCAACATCATTACCCCAGTGCCTAAATGATTTCTGTGTGCTATAGCAGAGACTAATAATATATTTGTGAAAGTTAGTTAAATCTGTTATTACTGTGATAGGTTTGATGTGTTATAATTCTACTCCTGCTTCTTCATGATGATCTGGTGTTTAATATATTGCTTACTTATTCCCCATAGTTATTTATTCATGTATGGATTTATCTCAGAATGTCTCAGAATACCTATTACAATTACCCTGTCACATTGGCATTCTGTGTTTTGATGTTCAATTTTTCCCAGTATTGCCCAGAAGAGTCCATTAAAGATGCCTCTGGAGCATTTCCTGAGTCTAAACATTGCACTGTCTGAGCCCTTGTATAGAAAGAAATTAATGATGTCCACCTCAAAGAATCATTTTGAGGCCTGAAGAGACAGAAAGCAGACACATGTTGTGTGTGTCTAGTAAGACAAATTTCCCTTGCCTCTTTCATGCAGTCAGTGTGATGACTCTGGCATGAAAGTAGTTCATGAGTACACACAAGGGAGAGCACTTGGCAAGGTAATGGCAAATGAACAAGCTCTCACTTCCATTATGTGTATGCATTCCTAGGTATCACTGTGTGTTTCCATGGTGATGTGATGAGCTGGGAAGAGGAAAAGCATCATTGTATACCTTCCACTGATGGAGTCTGCACAGGTAAGGCACCGCCATTCCATCCCCTGGCTTTTATTGCTTTCTCATTCTGGATTCCTCAATTTCATGTGTTTTCTTTCCGTCATGCTACGTTGTAATTTAAAGAGAAGGATTTATTCTCTGTGCGTTCCCATCCCATAAGCCCACTCTTCTAGCAATCTCAAGCATAGTTGCAATCTTGTAGCCTCTAGGATCTGCACACTTTTCTCTCTTTTCTAGGTGTCCTTTCACTAACTCTCTTTTCTTCCCTGACACTGTGACCTTTCTCTAAAGTTCCCTCCCTACCAAGTGGCTGCTTATGAACCCTGCAGGCTTAATTCAGATGGGACAGCTTTCCTCTTTTTTTCTGCTCATCTCTTTCCTTGGTGCAGCTGAGATTTGCAATTATTTGCTCTGGAGATTTTCAGGTTTTCTTTCTCTGTTTTCCTCCTTAGGTTTATT